TCCTCAAAATTTTATTAATTAATTGGATCGGGATCACCACCAAAATCTCATCAATTCTAAGTTACCCCATTTCTGACCTATCCTGAAAATTTTATTAATTAATTGGATCGGGATCACCACCAAAATCTCATCAATTCTAAGTTAGGCCACTTCTGACCTATCCTGAAAATTTTATGACAATCCGTCCATAATTTTTTCAGTTAGACTGTACACAAACAAACCCACAAACCCACAAACACACGCCGAACAAACACACGCCGAACAAACACACGCCGAACAAACACATGCCGGTGAAAACATAACCTCCTGCCAACGCCTTGGCGGAGGTAATAATTTCTGTATAGGCAGCAGGTGTACATGTACATGTTAAGCTTCAGGAGTGGAAAGCATTAGCTAGAGAGTTGAATAATCATCCACGCCACTCACACCTTGCCTCCATCCGGACGCTAATCTAAAACAAACGAACGTCCTCCCAAAAAACAACAACTCTACTCACCAGGTCGCAGTGGCAGTCCCGCCAGAGGGCGCCGCTGTGTGCGTCGTCGTTGAACAGCGCGCCCGTCGCCTCGATCGCGGTCGCACGGACGTAGCTCTCCGCGTCATTCGTCGCTCTGTAGCAGACGCCGTGCAGACGCCCTCGCACCAGCCAATCAGAGAGCGGGGCGCAGCCGGCGAGCCGACACAGGCATGCGAGACACGAATCACGAACCTCCCAACGCACGTCCAGACTACGCTTGTTCAGCACGTCGCCCGCTGCTTCCAGCGCCACCTACAGCCACGCGAGAAAGCGGTGAGTCACACATCGCCGCGCGTTACGGGGACATAACGCGAGTCAATCAGACCAGAGCTGATTGTGACTTCCTCCAATGATTCTAGTAATTTCTGAAGCTGAAGCAATTTTGAAAATAAAAAATGTGACGTGTCACTGACTAGAGAGTCTTATGATGCAACTATTGTTAACTGCCTGACAATGTGTCTTACACATACTATTATTTTCTGAAATTCCAATATGGAAACATAGTACTAGGTACGAGATACAAGGTACAAGGTCATCCAGTTAGTCACACATCTCCTGGGCTCAGTAAATGTTACTACAGCTGCCGGAAATTTTAATTCACGTAAGCGCTCTATCCTGCTATACATTCGCGCCTCATGGCTCAGGCTGCGTGGGTCGTGTAAACCACACAGCAGGGAGAGAGAACTAATAATGACATGCAGCACCTCTAACTCCGCGGCGACGGCTGGCTCTGTCGCAACCGCCAGCAACGTCAGCCCGAGAATGCGCACGACTTGCACCACCAGGGGGCAGGACAGCTGCGGGTTGTCGGCGGCGCCACACAGCATCACAATCAGCTCCTCCGCCTCGTCGTTGTCCATCGCCACGGTAACTAAAGATGCAACGTGACACTTTATTACTCATACATACGTGTATTATGTAGACACCAATCAGCATGCCACACAGCTGGCGCAGGCCCTCTCATCCACACGGGTGGATTATTATTCTAGGTGTGCTGACTAAGAACATTAGGGTTGATCACCGAGCGATCGGTTAGCAAGCAACAGCAGCAACGCTCTCACCTGAGCCATCCAACGTCGCTTCTACCACCCCGAGTGCCGCGGATGTCACTCTGTCACCAGGGGGTGCATGCGAACGGCCGCTCGCGTCTGCCACCAGAGTGCGCTTCAGCATGTCGATCATCGGCCGGCGGATGACACGGTGCGTGGCCTGTGATCGACGAGACGAAACATAGATGACGTCAAACACGGCGATCGAACGATCGAACGATGGAACACGGTGATTGAACGTCAAACACGGCGATTGAACGATCGAACGATGAAACACGGTGATCGAACGATCGAACACAGCAATCGCACGATGGAACACGGTGATCAAATGATCGAACACGGCGATCGAACGATGGAACACGGTGATCGAATGATCGAACACGGCGATCGAACGATGGAACACGGTGATCGAATGATCGAACACGGCGATCGAACGATGGAACACGGTGATCGAACAATCGAACGATCGAACACCATGATCTAACGATGGAACACGGCGATCGAACACCATGATCTAACGATGGAACACGGCGATCGAACACCATGATCTAACGATGGAACACGGCGATCGAACACGGCGATTGAACAATGGAACACAGCGATCGAACACCGTGTCGAACGATCGAACGATGGAACTCGGCGAACGAACACCGTGATCGAACAATCGAACGATGGAACAAGGCGATCGAACATCGTGATCAAACGATGGAACACAGACCTGTGGACAGCTGTTGTCTGCTACGAGGGATTTCACGGCAGCGAGACTGTGGAGCAGGGCGTCCGCATTGTCGTTGCCGTGGCGACCGTCAGAGGAGGAGCGCTGCCTCAGCATCACGGACACGGGTTCCAGCATGATGTCGAGAAACTCCTGCCACTCTGGCGTGTTGCCATGCCTGCAACGTCATCATCGATAACATATCACACCTTATTATGAGAGTAAACACACTGTATACAAGTATACTGTAATACTCTGCAGTGTATACTGCCTGTTTCTACCTGCAACACTGCTCCCTACTCTGGTACCTATATTGGTAACTACAACATATTGAGACAGCAGACTCAGATGTCTCGTGAGGCACTCACCTGAACCGTCTCATCGTGGCTGCAGCCAGCATCAGTGCTGCCCTCGTGAACCCGCGTCGTCGCAGTAACCCTCGCACTAACTCCCGCAGCTCCGCCACGTCCGTCGCCATGGCGACCGCGAGACCCGTCGATGCCTCACAGACGCGTGCGTCTCCCGAGTCGTAGAGTGTCGCCAGCGCCTCCGCGTCGCCACATCGCAGGGCAACGAGGTTGGAGACGGCACCCGTCTCACTCAGCAGCACCAGCAGCTGCATCGCGTTGGTGCGGGCGCGCTCAGATCTCCACGTCCGCTCGCAGCCGTCGTACTGACGATGCGTCGCCGCGGCAACCGCCGCATCGCCGAACGCGACTCCGACAAGCTGGCGGATGCAGAACCCCGGGTCGCTCAACGCCGCGGCGCCACCTGGCGGCAGTTCCTCCGCCTCCTGGATGCTGTGCGCGTCGCCTAGGTAACGGCCGAGGAAGTGCTGGGCGGAGCCGCAGACGAAGATGCTGCTGTCGCTGAGAGCGAGGAAAGCTAGCTTCACGAGCTTAGCTGAAATATTCGCGCGTATGTCGTGTCACTGTGAGCATCCGGCCGCCGCCGCCGCCGCCGCCGCCGCGCCGCAGTCATGGGTCCGATAAACAGCTACTGATAACTAATGATAATAGCTTGTGATAATAATAACACCTGATAATAACACCTGATAGTAACACCTGATAATAACACCTGAGAGCTATCACTAGCTCTTGATCAGATATGTCACATTGACGATTATGCTTCGAGTGACATACCCTGCCACTCCTGCACTCCCTAGTTTGAAATGCATGGAGAAGGCAGAATACTGCCTACGACTTGGGAAGGGGTTGTCCTCGTGGGTAAGCTACTACAGACACTCACACGTTGGGTTGTAGCGCAGCCACCGCATGCCAGCTGCATGCTTCGTGAGGTCACACAGGGTGTGTGTGTGTGTGGGTGTGTGGTGGGTAGGTGTGTGTGTGGTGGGCGGGTGTGTGGAAGGGGTGTAGGTGTTTAACACGTGGAGACGTTAGACCATCTCCTCAGTTTTTCAAATGTGTTTCACCACACAGATGTTCTTGTGTTTCAGGTTCTTCGGGCGTGTGTCAGGGGAGGAAGTGTGGGCCCAAGCCTCCGTGAGAGAGGCGGTCTTTGAGAGACACACACACACACACACACACACACACACACACACACACACACACACACACACACACACACACACACACACACACACATACCCCCCCCACACACACACGCACACACTACGCGCACGCGTGTGTGGGCGCGGTGCCGCAGGAATGCCTCAACATCAATGACTGTAGCCGGAGATGAGAAAACTTTCCAATTAAAAAATGTTTTTCCTCGTGCAGCGCAGTAATCTGACATCATTTCACGCTGCGAACACTCGCTAATTCTCCCTGCCAATCTCTCTCTCTCTCTCCAGCGGGAGCGCGAGCGATGGGCGCACAGCCGTATAACAGCGATGTCATGCTCGTGCATGGCTTCGAACGCGAAGCATAAATACACGGGAGACTTTGCGAGTGTAATTAAAACTTGAAACATTCAGTTGGGAGCAACGAATGTAAATAATGGCGACTGAATGCGTGACTACAGTGGAATAAACGACCTATATGTTGACCAATGCATCGGCTCTGATCAATAACTATTGATACCCCATCAGAATTTTAGAAGAATGGTACGCGCATAGGTATGCGAAACTTGCTATGACAAATATCACGTCTATAGACGAGTTCCGTATCCTGTTCTCCATGGACGTCTTGCTAAGTATGTCATTTCAATGGCATCAGGAAGAATATGTAAATGATCGCGTCTTTCAAATGTCAAGTTCGTCCTATGCTGGTACACGTGCGACGTGAAAACTTTAATCATGGCCGCGTAATATTATAATTTAGTTATCGCCAGACAGATGAAATTAGTCGATGCCTTTCTAATTAGTGCAAATCGAATTTTAGTATTTTCGTTGACGCGAGGTCGGAAATACCTCTCACGTTACTCACGTTACTCGCGTTATTTTACGACGATCGACATCATGAATTAATCGTGAATATTCGTTGTACACACACGTATCTATAAACGAATGAGAAGAATATTCACGAAAGTACACACAACACAACATAATACAGTAACAGCAACATTAACAAGTATATGCACTAACATGTATACACGCATAGACATACGTATGCACGTACGCACGCACGCACGCACGCACGCACGCACGCACGCACGCACGCATGCACGCACGCACGCATGCACGTGTAAAAGCTCGCACACACGCACATGCATACAAAACAACACAACGCAAGCAATCATGGCGTGTTTTAATTTAGCTCCTGTCTCGCGTTACCGCGTGCCTCGCATGCGAACACGCGGGCGGTGTCCCATCAATGTCAGCGATAGTTGAAACTCCACATTCTCTCTCAATTAGCAAGACAGAACTACATGTTGCTATACCTATACAGCAGTCCGGTTACACCTTCACGAAGCGTGGTAGATACATGGCCGTTAGCCGTCATGCTGGAAATTCGAGAGAAGCGCGGTTGCTATATTTGTGGAATGCAAGGATGCCAAAGTCGATATTTTAACACCTCGAGACATAAAAATGTGTATTATTGCCGAGGAGAAGAAACCTCACATATACGTTAGACGTTAATTGCTTTATTACCGTTATTATACTACCTGCCTCTTTCTCTTTTTCTTGCTTTCTCTCTCTTTTTCTTTCTTCCAGCTCTCCCGTTTCCCCTCTGTTCTCTATCCCCTCTCTATCTCGCTTTCACTCTCTTGCTCTCTCTCTCTCTCTCTCTCTCTCTCTCTCTCCGTCTCTTTTGCTCTATGTCTCTGTCTGTCTGCCTCGCTTTCACTCTCCTTTTCTCTCTGTCTGTCTCTATTTCTGTCTCGGTCTGTCTCGCTCTGTCTTTCTTGATATCTCCCACTTCCCCCTCTCTCTTTCTTGCTCGTTTAATCCCATATCTCTCTTTCTCCGGCCGGCTCTCGATCTCGTCCTCTCTTCACTCACCGCCTTCTCTCTCTCTCTCCCTAATTCCTCCTTTTCTCTATTTCATATATCTATAGAGACGAGCTGGTAAAACCATTTCACTCTTACGGAATGCGCGAGCGTGCATCAAACGTATAAAATAAACTCGACCTATAAATTCTAACGTCACCGGTTTATCATAACACGTACTTCTATACTGTAGGCGAATATAACCTCCCCACAAACTCCAACGCGCTGAGCATACACGGCTTCCCCACGCAGGCGTAATTTACGCAGCGCCGTCTACTGTCTGGATAATGATTTAGGAGCGAATAGCCGGCGTTCCCAGATGCGTCCGCGGGTGAAGATTCATCTTAAGGAGGCATACAACAGTAAGCCTATATCGTCTAGAGAAAATGCCTTTTTTCGTATTTTTTTTCGCAGAATTTCGGCACTAGAGTGCAATAATTTACATTATGCACGCAAGTTAGATGCCTCGTGGACGTCTAGAAAGCATTAGAAGTAAAATTGGTCTTGTTGTGTAATTGTGCCATTGCAGCTAGTGGCGTAGCCATGGTCGCCGGTCGGCCATTTTTGTGTATGAAACGGGATCCGACTACTCTGTAGAAATTCGCATCATAGAGCTGGCAAAAGTTTCGAGCGGAGCATAGAGCATGAATCTGTAGTTATTTAACATGAATAAAGTGTACGTTGTGTAAGCGCAGTAACACTGTGAGTATTTTTTATTAATTTCTGTTCGATGCTTATTCAGGCCTGCCGCCTATGGACGCCCTATACTGTTGTTCAACACCTTAAGCTCGCTCGTCGAAACAACAACCGACGGAGCTTAATTTGCTTTATAGTCCGTGGTTAGGCAAAAACGAGACGGCGTGACGCGGGCGTTAAGTCGCTAATATATCTCGCGGCCCAAATTGGTTTTGTGCCGAGAATGTTTATATCACAGTTTAGAAGAAAGTTGTGTAGCGAACTGCCCTTGTGTCGGCCTTCCTCGCGTAATTCTGTTCGTCCGAGAACTTCTCCGAAGACGTACACAGTAGTAGAAGATAAATTGCGGTCGATTGAGCATAAGGACATGCGTGTAAGGCGCTGGAATCACTTCGTTATTAAATTTTGTTTGCGTAAAGAAAGGCGTTCTCGCACGATTTTAATTAACTGGATAGAAAGCACCATAGAAACTACACGCCGACTGCGCGTGAATATCTCATTCGTTATATAAACGTGTAGTAATGAAAGAGGGCGAATTAGATGGACATGCAACCGATAGGTGCGCCATTCATAAATGGTTCTTTGAAATGCAAGCTTTCGAGGAAACCTAACATTGAAATAGTGATATAGAATAATGAGCGAAGTCGTGGATATGAGATGTTAAAGAGGAGAGCGACGCACGGGAGAAGGGAGGACATACACACACATAGAAAGATAGAAATACAATTAAGATGCAATTCAAATCAGCAGGGAATAATACAAGTCTAGTGAAACAAAAGCAGAATAAAAAATGAAATGAAGTTGTACATTCTATGAAATAAAACATGCATTGAAATATAAAATATATATAAAATGGAACGAGTAATTGCAACTAACAACACAAATCGCACAGGAAGTAATCATAATAAGCATAAGTGTACAAAGGTATTACACTGCAGACGTTATCCGTACATTATGTAACAAATAAATCCAAGTACAGCATATAGCTACAAGCTCACCTTCTTCGAGTATTGCATCTAAAAAAAACGCTTGAAATATAAGTAACGAAACCAAACCAACAAGGACAACAGCAATAAATTCGAACAAAATATTTAAAAAAACCAGCTACTGATTTGACTGAACACATAATGCCCAAACTGAGTTGTCAAAAACTGCGATTAAAATTAGGTCGTGGTAAGGTACACGCTGAATTACAAGCTAATAGGGCCGAGAGAGACGCAGAGCAAGGGAGAGGAATAGACGTGCAGCAGATATACGGTTGCAACGTCAATGTATTAAATTGACTACGTCACGAATTTTCTATGGTAAAATTTGTAAAATTTTTGTTGCCATTTTTTTACATTAAAAGTAAGAACTAACGGG